TGAACATTTTCGAGCGAAAAAACAGGTGTTGCATCGTATCGTTAGAACGCACATGGAATTTTGGATCCACGGAATCACGTGGTACGAATTGGCGATATGCGTGATAGGTCAGGTGTGCCGAGTGATTCGGATACGTCGAATAATTGGCAAAGTTGCAGGCAGGCGATCGAACGGGAGGAATCGGTTCGGAGTTCGTTAAGGTTGTAATGGAGAAGCGAGCAAAATTGTGATAAGGACACGCTTGGAATCGAATTGCAAAGACGCGAGGAGGCTGGGTGAGATGGTTTGTTTGCCAGAGTTTGGGAAAATGGGCGCAGTTGCAGCTGCAGCTGCAGTCACGCCGGGCAGTAGCCATCAGCGTACCGCTAACGAAACAGGCAAACGAGTACCTGCAGAACGCGATCAATACTCCGTACACCGAGTGCACACTGGTCGGAACACGTGTTCCCGTTTGTTTTGTTCTTTACCCCTGCAGCTAGCACCGCGAGCTTGCGTTCGACCGACAACGTTGTTCAGAGACCGCCACGTCCTTTCAGACCTGTTCCGCGATAGCTGCCACAATCCTCGCTATCCCCTGTAACCCCCACAATCCTCGCTATCCCCACCCCATCAGCCTCAAAATTTCACTCAGCCGTTCGTTACGAGTAAAAGGTAGAAATACGACAACTTGGAAAAGAAAATATCAACGTAACAATGCCAGTCGACGCGGTGAAAATAAAACTGCATCGAGATGCACCGCGATGCAAACGAGCCCCGAATACCGACGTGTTCGAACCGTTTAATCGGAGGGCATAAATTAACGCGGTAAATTACCTGTTTAACATGAAACTGTCCGTCCAGTTAGTCGACCGGCTAATGGACACGAAGCATTGTTCGCGCGTTATCCTAATCATAATATACTATGGTCAAACTAACCGAAATAGCGTGCACGTGCAACGACGCGTGGGACTGATCGCGATACTTTTAATTTCACGAAATTACCGTCATCGACAGCGAATAACTAGAAAAATTAAACGAGAGCATAGTTTACGATGATGCGAGTACCAAAGTTTTAGTCTTACTGAGTATTAGACGGTTTTGATACGGCAGTGAACGTGGTCGTCTTGTAAAATTGATCGAAAAACTAGTCCAGGTCTAAATAGAACAGTTGTTTCACCGGGACAGGGATAAACGAGGTAAAAGGGTAGACCGTGAGAGAGAGAGAGAGAGAGAGGAGTTGTATCTGGAGCAACGGTATCAATGTTCTCGGCAGTACTCGTGCGGGTCCAAGAGGTTAAGCCGAGTTTGCACGGCAACGTAAACTCGGGCGCGCGGCAGGTGGGCCACTGCACGTGCGCGGCCAGCAGAAATCCGGCGAAATTCGATCGATTCCGGCGAAAAGAGGAAGGTTCGACGTACATTCGGGTGTAATCGAGCCGGCCCGTCCGTCTACCCCGCCCGTCCTGCCCCGTGCAGGCGTTTGCACCGTCCTAGAATCGAACCAGCATGCTAAGAAACCAAGTGGTCTCTTGACCCCGATATATCGCTGGGGTGCGTTTCTTTGCGCGATCGAAACCCGACCTTGGCTTCTCGAGTCCGATGCGCCCGGGCTCGCCAGTTTCCTTCCTATCCTCCCGAGTCGCCACCAAACTCCTCGTTCCTCATTTCTCCTCCTCAAACAAATTAACAGATTCCTTCCAATATCACTACCTCGTCTCACTCATTTCGCGATGCTTATTATTATGCTCTCCCGAGCTTTATACGTTTTTCGTTTGCAACCAATGGGACCAAAAATGAATTTTTGTGTTCCAACAAATCCTGAAATATTTGGCGCAAATAGCTGCCTGTTTGTATTGGAAACGGTTTTATACGTTAAACTTTCAAAGTAATTGGATTGCCTTCGTTAAAATTTAAGTGGTTTTCAAGCGGTACAGTGGCCAGGATTCGGTGGGGTGTGCTCTATAGTCCTACGATGAACGTGTCTAGTTCGGAACCGTCTTTCGAATATTTAACAAGTTCGATCCTGAGGAAGATGCACGCAAATTCGTCGAATCGATAAATTTACGTTGAATGAAATCGTATGACCGATGATTCCCCAGGCCCTTCTCCGTCCTCCTATTTAATTTTCCCGTTCGTTTCGTTAACGACGAAGAGGCAGGACTCTTTGCACGGCGGCGCGCGTGTCAATTCTATCCGGCTGTCGGGGCCGAAAATTTCCGTGCCCGAACGGGCTCGAAATTTAATTGGACAGCGTATCATCGATAAAAAACGAGGATACCCTGGCAACCCTTTTGTGCATTCCGGGCAAACGAATTGATCTCCAGCTTTCGATAACACGCGGGGGCCCTGTGGCTCTGTCGGATTTTCGTTCCCCGGTTCGTCGTGCCATTTGCGACGATAAATGAAAAATGCAATTATCGTGCAGCGGGGAGGATCCATCGATGCGAGGAACACGCACGCCTGCTAGTTTCCACTAAATAGACCAACACGGATATGACGGAGGGTACTCGGGCTTCGTTACGTCTAATTTCGTTAATGTTGAAAGCAACCGGCTTTTCGTAACCGAAGGAACACGGCACGAGCAACAACGCTGTAACATCCTACATCCGTGCATAATAGATAGCCTCGCTGGACTGTCATTCTCAAATGGAAGAACGAAAACAAAACGTAATTTAATCGTCTGGATAATTTACTACATTTTCATTTCATCGAGTCGTCGAATGTAGCATTACCACGACAAATGTAATGATTCTACCCCCCCAAATAACTGAAATGATATCATATCCGCTATCGTTTCCGTTTCTTTGCTCGACGCGAATCGCTGCCAGTTGTAAAGACAGAAAATCAAAAGAAATACTGTGTGCGATGCATAGTGCCGACAAAATAGTATAAACGACGCTGTAAAATCGATTATTTCTTCGTAGATATAGCTAGCCTTATAATATAATGCCTTCGTTTCCCGAGGGTTCGTTTAATTTAATTTAAATATTTTGTACGCAGGACGTATTAAACAAGGATTTGTATCGAATGCATTTTTCCTGATTTTCCGCGACTGGCTGCATCGATACGTTCGAAAACTTTACAACTTACACATTCTTGCCGCCACGGACTTTCCAAGTTTACTGAATAAGTGATATATCGTAAACTTTCTTAGCAAGGTACACAGCCGAGATCGATCGTGATTTTATAACAAATTTCGCTCGGTAACGTCGACGAACCACACAAATTGTTTACAGTATCGCGAAGAGGGCATCCGAGAATTATATTAACCAGTTAAAATAATAATATTTAATATTTTTATATAGAACATAGAATTTCCACCAACATTTTTCAAACCGAATTCTTCGAGAAAATAATTGCCTTTCTGTAATGTTTACAGTAAAATACCCTCTTAATCGAGTTTGCCGACAATAATCCGTTGTCATAATTTGACGCGTGCATCCTTAACATTTAATGAACAGTTTTAAATTTTAATCAGAAAAGATTGGCCCGCGTCTGACAACGATTAATTAAAGAAAACGCGATCTGGATAGTAACAACAGATGTGCCATCTCATTTATCCGCCATACCTCGTTGTTTATTGTCGAGAACAACGCTGGCAGCTCGGGATCGTAATTTTTAAGACGATACATAAAACGACTACGGTTTCCGCCCGTATTGAATTCGATTTTTGATGAAAAGTTTTGCGCAGAACGACAATTCGACCGATAGATCAGGACGTAAGTGATTGCTGGACGCAAGAAATTGTTCAGGCATAAATTACTTGGTCGGATATTACAACAGGATCAACAAGTTCAGCAGTTTTACGACGATAATGACATTAACGACTGCATTGACTCGATCAGCGAAGCAGGGAACGGAGTGACGACGGCGAATATTAGCTATTCGCGGAGAAATCTCCTCGGTCTCGAAGTCAAATTTCCGATGTAAATACGAAAGAAAACGTGGAAGAATTCCAGGGAAATATTTCTCTCGCGGGCACGCCGGGGACGGACTTTGGAACGCGAAAAAAGAAAGAAGAAACTAGCACACCTCGCTGTTATGCAAGAAGAAATTTGTCGCGAGTTTTATGCAAATTCGGCAACCTGGCCGCGGACGGAACGAAGACAAACTACATGCAGAGATTTTAATAAAATATGATCAAAAACAGCATTGGTTGGTTCTTAATCCCTCTTGAAACACGAACGAAATACACTACACTCTCTGATACAATAAAATAGACTAAATATATTAGTTTTCTACTTGGTAGTGAGTTATTAGTAGCCTAAGTTCTGTCGCGTGTCAGAGAACGTAGAGGCTCCGAGCCAGCAGCTCCACGTGGGGATTAGTTTGTGACATTTTCAGAGCGCAACATGACGACACTTTGAATGAATTCACCGTGCATCCCCCTACAAAGAAATTTTCTAGAACAATCTGTTCGATCGCGAAGCTATCGTTGCCTGGAGCGGCAAGTTCCTGGAAAAATGGAATGTCAGTGGTGAAAAGCGTCGCGAAAAGAAACTTTAAACTCTAGAGCGGCATTTCCCAACGCGGATGGCAACGTCCCCTTGAGGATACGTTGCAGTCCTTCAGGGTGACGTTAAAGCGACGACAAACTTTGGCGGGATCGACGAAACGTTTATTGAAAACTGGGTGGATACTTCTCCGACTGAAAGTTTTATGCTCTCAAAAGTATACGCATTTTTGTTACCAAAGATCGTAATTTTGTATCGACATCGAGAGGATCGATGGTTGAGAAAAACAATGGTGGAAAGCGTCTTGTTTACGTCGGATGTCCGGTTCGTCTGTATTTCGGAGAGTAAATAGGACGCACAGGACGCGCTCAAGGTCGCGACCGATCGGTAATCATGCACGTAATCCAAAGTGCACTTCCGTTATGCAGCTGAAAATTAGCCGCGACTGATCCAACGTCTGAATGGCGGAGGACTTCAATCAGCGAACGAAGGAACACCGGTAACCCCCTCTTATTCACGCCCACATCCCGTGCGCCAACACATCCTCGTGAACCGAAGCGTTATAAAAAGTACGCGGCTCAAGCAAACGCGGCATACCGTATTCGCCTAAGTGAGACAACCGGTGAAGAGGCACGCAGATCGACGACAATGGATAATACCAACGCTCTGCTGTTCCTAGCACTCGTGTGCTTGCAGGCGATGTTCGTGCGTGCTGCGGTAAGCTTTACAAAGGGCTTACTTTTTCTCGCGATTGATCGAGACCGGACCAATCACGATCACACGAAACGGGACGTTCACCTGTCTTTATCCACTCGTATTAGGTAGTCGATCCTTTGGTGAGAGACGTTGAATCTTTCAACTTTATCAGAAAAGACTTTAAAACCTGTATATAAAAATTAATTTTTAATAAGACTGAATCACTATTATACGACTGGGAGTAGTCAACACTACGAATTATATTATTTTTAAACCCGAATCAACTAGTGGGCACCGATCGATTACCGGGGTCCTTACGGTCGTCGGTATCGATTCGATACGAATGTGTTCGTGCGATCGGGCAATCGATATCGTTGCAAGTGGTTTCGAGATTAGAGGGAGGTCCTAATTGGAGCGTGCAAAGTTTCGCGGCATAATTGCACCGCTGCACTGTGAACGTTATTGAATTTCTTTTCTTCTTTTTTTTTTTCTCAAATGCTTTCAGTCGTTACGAAGCGTGATAGAACGCGAGGCAACGTGTATCGATCGAAATTCAAACGGATACTCGAGGAACGTATCGTTACATAAACAGCACGCGGAAATGCAGCCAACAGCCTATTCGAGCCGGGTTATATTTATTTTTGAACATTTGCATTCAATGAACCTCAATTTACCGGCGATTTCAATTTCTAATCGATACAGCGCGTCGATGTTTCAGCAGTCACCCGTTATCGTAACAGTTCTAATTAAATTATCCAATTTTCGTCGTACCGTATCGTAAATTATAAATCGCGTTATGAGAACTACTTCGATTTCTCGGACAACGTTGCAAACAAACGCGACGATGAATAGAATAACGTTTAGGTGCGGGTAAGGGACATCGCGAAATCGATTTTTCTAATCGTCGATGCCAGAGGATAAGATAAGGAGATCCGCTGCATGCGTCTCAAAAAGTCTCGATAATCCAGTAAAACGCGATCACTAAAACTGCAAAGAAGTACCGGATTTAGGCTCATTGTCGATCGTTTTGATTTTCTCTTAGCCGGACTGGGTACCCCCCGAGGTATTCGAAATGGTCCAAGATGACAAACAACGATGCATGGGCGAACACGGCACAACGCAAGGTTAGTATCGCGAGAAGTTACGTCCATCGAACCAGGTGCTTTCACTAAATCCTGGGGTACGCGTTAAAAATTCTCTATTTATCCAATACGAAAATTAAACTCGAATTATCCAGAATATTTATATAACTCGGCAAATACAGTTTCAAAGGATTCGTACCGATTGCTTATTTAACACCGATTACCACTTCGTTTCATATGGAATTCATAATTACAGCTGATGCAAAACTGATAATTTCGTACAATAATTGTGATAATTTGCGGGGGGTAACAGTTGCAGAAACGTCGTTAATTGCACCTATTTGAATGTGAATTTGATTTGCAAAAAGTTTGGTCAACCTCGCCGTTAGTTTTTGGCGGGAAAGCTCGGTAGATTTTATCAGATATTTATTTCTTTCTGTCCAACAATCTGTCGATTCGGGATCCAGCGCAGATCGATGAAGTGGATAAAGGGATCATGACCAACGATCCGTCGATAACATGTTACATGTACTGTCTCCTCGAAGCATTTAGTTTGGTAAGCGTTATTTGATCGCGAGTAACGGTCATTCCGTTCGACGCCTAAACTTAATCAAAGTATAATCGTTTGGTTTAGGTGGACGACGAGGCCAATTTGGAGACGGACATGTTGATGGGTCTGCTGCCTGATAATCTTCAGGATAAAGCGACCGAAGTTCTGGGCAAGTGCACACCGACAGGTACGCCGTTATTAGTTTTCCCACACGAGGAACTATCACGTTTCGTACGCGATTCTTTTCGTTTCTAATATGTATCGATGCTTACAGCCGGCACTGACAATTGCAACAAGATCTACAATCTCGGCAAATGCATCTACGATGCTGTACCAGATGTAAGTACATCGAAATTATTCTCCTCCGACTCTCGATCGAACGTGTTCACTTTGAGAATTAATTCTTATCTCTATAAAAAATCGATCTTATAAAGGTGATAGACTAGAACGGTTCCTTTAAGAAGCGTCGTAGTGCTCGATAGGGGATTTGTAATTAAAACCGAAAGCGTATGCGCGTGTTGTTCGTACAACTAGCATAGAATGGTTCGATAATCGAAACACGCGACGCTTGAATTTCCTTCGAAGATCCATCGGAACAATACGTAATAATTAACATGCACTCGAATACAACTAACATCTAATACTGTTGCACAGAAAAGCAGCGATCGCAAAGGAAAATGTGCGAGATAGAAGCGTGCAAACGTCTAAACTGTAATCTTTGTTTACAGTTGTGGTTCATCGTCTAGACCGAGAAGAGAAGACGAAAATTCTTTCACGGAACAACGAGACGATGTACTTTCGGCGACCGACGAGGGAGAATTTCAAAATGGTTCCTAAGATGATTCGTAATGGCAAGAAAAAAAAAAACAACACCCACACACACACACGCGCTCGCAATCGCATCGTCGAATTAAACGCAAAATTATACAATCACGCGTATAGATACAGAACATAGTTAACCTAGGATAAGGACTAAACTATTCCTTCGTTCGGTTCAGGCGATCGAAGCTACCAACTACCGAATGTAAACAAATGTAAACATCTTTTCTCCGAGAAAAATATAGTATCAACGAGCGAGAGGAAATGAAAATAAAAAAACAAACTATTGACTCGACGGAGTCTATTTCGCGACGGATGAAATTGCCGGGGTTGCGACCGGAAACGTTGAGTAATCGAGGAGGAATCCACACCCGAACGATCTTCCCGAGATTATTCAAGAGCGATTCGTTTCGGGGGGAAAAAAAAAACGGTAATAACGCCGTGAAACCGTCGTGTACATGCACGCGTTACGTAATTCGTTCGTTCGACGATGCACGATACGCGGACATTGATATCGTAATTTCCGTGACAATCTAATTCGCGAGTGTTCCGGGCGCGCGACGTGATTGCATGTTTACAAGAATCACCGAACACGGCCATTTCTTACCTCGCGAAATGACACACGCAAAATCCTGCACGCGGCCATTAAATGCTATCCTTTAGCGGTCGAGATAATTTTCTAATTACGCGTGTTACGCAACGCCGTGCAGAAGCTGTTGCGCGACTCGACTTTGCTTTCCGAATTCAACTACGCGCGAGAACGATGACTCGATCGTTTTTTGGGAATCGACGAAGACCGAGAAGGAGAAAAAGAACGCGAATTGGAACTATCGACGAGGTTCTCGATGATTCGGAGGCTGCACCGTCCTCGTGCTTGGACGTTCCCACTCGAAAACGGCGAGGAACGCGCTAGAAACTACTCCTACGCAAACGTGTCATGCGTGATCGTGCAGAAACATCGAAAAAAAAAAAAGAAAACGGAACAAGGGACGTTGGAGTTTGACCGGCGTGGCGTCGATACGAATTCCCTCGGGCACGACGCGACTTTTCATCTCAAACGATACGGCGCGCTGCTTTCTGATTTTTAATCATGCCATGGAAAAGATCGGCACGTTGCGCAGGTATAGTAACGATTCTTGGAATTCAACACCATCTCCAGGTTGGAAGGGACGGAGATGTTCGATTTAAGAATCGTTACTGTACCGTGATGTCGATCGACGGTATGGAGAAAAATCTTGAAAGATCTATTTTTACGCGGCGACTGGAAATAGTCGGTATTAATGAAAGGAAGCACGCGATCGGAGGCCCCGTACGTTGCTCCAGCCGTGGTGAGTCACGTTTCGAACGCGAACTCGCAACAAGTAGAGATCCCCCATAATGTCCCTGTAATTGATAGAGCCAACACCGACGTAATTTCAATACCGTTCGAGTTGCGGCGCGCGTCGAGCCTCGGTGGGAGATCGTTGCAGCGAAAGTCGCGCGTGCAGAGAGGTGTTTCGGGGCGAAACTGTTGCACACCGATCGACTGCACGGATAATACCGGTCACGGATAGTTTTTCGACGCGTGAGCACGGTCGGCCAAGGGTGCCGAAACGTAACCGGTCTCGTCACGTGGTTAACGATGGAATCAAGTTCGATATTCAATATATCGCCCGGTTGGTGATCGTAAAATAGAAACACTTGCGTTTGAAACGTAGACGTAGACGTAAACGCGATAGGCTCGATTCCATCGGCGACGGGTGGGTGGATGAAAAGGGGGTAAACAAAAGAGATAAATTGTGCAAGAAAAGACCAGGTAGAACAACTATACAAATACTAGACTCGATTAGATGGGCAGTACCTTCAGGTCAATCGAGTGGATAGCGGCGGTGTGCGGCGATGCGTGCTCTTTCGCGTCGTTCCCGCAATTCGCGTTGTTGTTTACGTTTGGCAGAGAACCGCCCGCCCTGAACTGATTGCCCAGGTTAATGTGCAGGTGTTTCCCGCTGGACTGCGGTGGACTGGCGCCGGCACTCTTGACGGACAGCGGGGTTTCCAGTACCCCGGATCCCGTGGGACTAGCGCCCACCGAGCTGCTCGCCGAGGCGACCTAAGCAGGTCCATCGTTCATATCGCTGACCAGCTTTCTCAATCCACCGACGATCTACACCACCTCTCGTAACCTTACCACCCGATTTACACGTCGACCACGCTTCTTTCGTTTCGTATAATACGTAGAAACTTGGACGTGCAACGTTGCAGCACGGCTGAACAACTACTCGGCAAAGACGGTCGCGCCGAGACTGGCGAAAGGTCATCGCAGGCCAAATCGATCAATTTTTTCCGCCGTGTCAGGGATTTTATTCAAAATGAAACGCGTACGTTTCGCTCGTGATTTGCGAAAAAAATAGTAAAACGACGACGGTTCGACGACGTTTCGTTCCGAGCCAAATCCCTGAGACAGAAAAAAATCGATTCAACGTGGAATGACCCTAAGCCTCGTCTCGTAAGGTAGCGCGATAGGATCGAGAAATGAAAACGAACGGATTTTTTGGGACGTCTTTCTACTTCGGGTCACGCGGCCATTTTATTCGAAGCGAAACAGATCGCCCAACGGGTTTGATACGTGACGAATAGACCACGGGAAACGGAAAATTTATCAAGTTTTTTTTACCGTGGAAGATGTGAAAAAATATTCGAAAAAAGAAAGGATAATCGTGCCAGTTTTATTCGTCGGATGAAACGATCGTCTGAACGGTTTTCGGTATCTTCGCCGGTACAGGGAACAATTAAGCGACCTCGTTTCTGATCAACCACCCTGTGCAATTTTAGAAATCCATATATGTTAATCACGATCGGTGAAGATAATTTATAAGAAAGTTTCTATCTCCTCGAATGAACGTTCCAATTCCTACCGGGAACGCTCGACGAAGTTCCCGGAGTCGGAAATCAATATTCAGAAGCTCCAATAATGGGTTACGCTTACGAACAACGCGTTTCGTGTGAATCTTGGAATATAAACATCGGTTAAGGGTGGGTCGAGATGTATTATTTTTTGGTAACTTTGAAAACTTTATCGTTAAAATCCCACACGAGTTTTATGCTACAACGTCGACATTCCTGTTCAACCATGATTCGATAAACAGGTTCTTATCTCACAATCTCTCTTTCTCTCTCTCTCTCTCTCTCTCCCTCGTCACGTGGTTTCATCACCGAATTCGTTCTACGCTTGGACTCTATTCTCCCGATTGATTTCAGAGCGATCGACCGTAAAAGTTTCGAAAACTCGCAGGGAAATATCTAGGAGAATATAACGGGACCGATCTATCGGCCATGGGGATCGATAGAAAACGCGATCCACGGCGGAACAGATTTTCCAGCGAAAATTCAGCGATATTCGTTCCCACAGTTTTGAAACTCGATATACATATTCGACTTACGAGCGTATAAAAAGTTCTGAATTCTATCTTTTTACGGTAGAGCCGACAGCGTAAACAAACTTGGTTTATTGCTTTTATCTCGATAACCGTCGAATGCTATCAAAATGATCGTTATACAAGGTGTTTTAGATTTAAATTGCCAAACTCGAGGTACGAGCGTGGAACCGTAAAAGAAATAAATTATTCCTCCGAAGTTACAAGACTTGGGAACGAATCGCATAAAAATATCTCTGTTCCCATGGTCCAAGTTATATTCGATTTATTACCAGAAGAAGAATGTCATTATTTCGTTTAATTCGAAACGACTGGAGGCAAGCATTACATCTATCGATAACGGAATTAATAAACATACCAGTAACCTTCGATCGTAAAAACAGAGATATTTCGATCGAAAGTAAAACGAGCGAATATATTAAGTTCCCTGGTTGCTGGAAAACTTCAAACGGCTCCGAAAGATCCCTAAGAGGGTCCAATTATTATTAGAACCACCTAGCAAGCAGATTCCTTCGATCGATCGATCTTTTCGAGTCTGCTCTAGCCGAATATGCGTTTTCTGTACTCGCAGACCAGCGAACTGCACGCGATAAAAGTGCATTCTCCGTTGGTATAGTCTCCCCTAGCAGCGTGTCTCGCGGGCAGAAATTACATAACGTTCCTCGTGAAAGTACACGCTTTTCTTTTCCTCTTCGAGCACAACCTGTTTCGCGTTTGCCTATTTCAATTGCGTTATCGCGAACTTTGTACGCGAACCTTCGATTCGCCAGGCGAACGCGCAGGCGTTGTTATTTTCCACTTTCGTTGGAAGTTTCGCGAACGAACATTTCAAAAATGTTCGAAACGAGATGGTATTTGAAAAAGGAAAGAAACGTAGACATCCTTTCTCTCCCTGGTTCTCCTACCGATCACTATTCCATTGTACTTTACGCGTCTCGATCGGGGAGATGATGCGTTCCGCTACTTTTTCATCCTTCGACAACTTTTAACGCGCTGCCAATGTTCAATGTTAGAAACAGTTACCTTTTTTTCTTATACGACCCGAGATAAACGCGACGCGCACGCGCGAGCCAGTCGATTCGACCGATTAATAGCTGCGTTCGTAAACGTTATCGAGACCGTTAACGGTGCATTTAGACATTCGCAGTTCGATTAAAAATCGCGATTCGGATCAGGGATCGCTCGGTCATGCGGCGTACGAGCGTCTCAGCTTGTCCAAGAACGTAACAAACGTTCGGTAATTTTTTAATTATCCTTGAATATCCTCTGGATAGACAAAAATATTTTAAGCACCAACGCCTTACGTAACGATCATACGTATTACGGTGTAGAATCGACGAGAAAACAGTAATTTCCGCGTTAATAAGCAAGAGAATATACTTATTTCTAAGAAGACATTATCACACACAACAATTTATTACTTTAAATACACATTGTTTTCTTAATAAAATCCTTTGCCTTTTATTATGGTAGGTAAGTCACTGACTAGAATATACTATTTTAATAAATTGTACAGTGATCTGCAAATTCGACATTGATTGAAGATCATACATTTTTTTTAGAACTATGTCACAGTAAACTTCGTTACAAAATATATGATTTCTAACTTGTACACATGTATATCGACACTGAGGAACTTGGTGCCAAAACCATTCGGACAATACCCCAGATCTCCACTTTAGGGCACTCGTATAAAGTAACATAACCGTCACATACTTTTCTTATCCTCTTAAATATATAAATATGTGCGACCACGACTGTCCACACCGTCGTTATTTAAATCGTACATGCACAAATTATCCAAACTACTTGTTCCGCTATTTTATTGCCTCGCGCGCGATTATTATCTCGAATATGAAATAACATAATTACGTTCGTGGAACGGAACAACCTTAAGATAACGCGTTGGTTGAAATACGGGCTGGACGGTGACCAGGCGACAAGCCTGAAAATTCAAGGCTGGCTGGATGAAAACACGAGACGAGCGGTTAAGGAATCACCCTCGCATTCCGAAACGATGGGAGAGCGTCGAAGAAAAATAAAGAGAACGCCGTGGCGCGTGAAAATCCGACGGACGTACGAAAAACACCGCGGTTCTTCGATCGAGCGATCTCGACGCGATAACGACCGATCGTACAATGAATATGAACTTTAAGCGCGTGTCGCAGCTTCCGCGTGCGGCACAACGCTACCGCGTTACGTAATCGTGATACGGTTGTGTCGTGACGCGAAAAAAAAACCCGCCAACCCGCGCGATTCCCCCGATGCGGCGTTCAGCGCGCGAAACAAGGCGTTCGGATGGTAAAATTCGTGTATCGCGCGACCGCTAAAAACACGTGCGATCGTTTCGTCCACGTGGGTAACGAACGAGGCTCGATAAAATACAGGCTGATCAAAAATCAGTAGCATAAATATGCTCGAAACTTTCTACCATTTCCACTGAAATGCAAAATACATACGGTGTGCAAGAGGTTCAATATAATTTATGCACACCCTGTACATACCCTTCGAACAACGAACAACCGATTATCTTATTTCCAAATCCGGTGGTAATCGACACGAAATACATAGTGTTTTGTTCACATACAGTTTCTGAACTAGCGTACGGAATTGTTGGTTTATTTGCACAGCCGTGAAAATAGAGGCACGGTTTTATTCGAATTAATTCGTTCCAAGTAAACACATCCAGACCCCGTGTATAATTTGAAATACTATTTTAAATAGCGAACGGGCGAAGTGGATGCAAATAAAAACGGTTTCGAAGATATATAAACCAAAATACCATTCGTCGATAATTAAATATTTTTGTTAATTAAATACTAATACGCCGTTGGGAACGCGACGATGTCGATTGGAGAAAAAAATTCGATTCGCTTTGTTTCTCGAAACCATGAATGTTAAAGCCAATTTCGCACTGGAGCGAACTGGCGGCACGTTTCTGCCTGCGGAACCGGAAGTGTCACGGTTAACGGAAACGAATTCCTTTTGGCGCCTCCAGTGTGCAAAATTGGGCGGAACGATTATGTCTATACGGTATAATCGTAATTAATGTAACGTGTCCAACGTTTGATACAACTATTCCTATCAACACTTGAACAGCTGATTTGTGCACACTCGTGCATGCTTTTATTATGATTACAATTCATAATATAAATAATATCATTGATAGAATAAAAAATAAAATATTTGATCTATATCCACGCACGCTCTTGTTTCACTGTATATGATTAGCAAATGTAATTATAATCTATACTTATTGTTTCCGGTAGATAAGAAACACCGTTTCCTTTTTCTTTGCGGCTACTTGTTGTATTATTTAATTTAAGAAAAAGCATATTGTTTAATGCGTCTGTGCTTTTTATACGTATATGTATATCTATGTATATTTTGTAAATACACCTTTATATAAATATATTCTGTTGCTTATTCCTGGGGAACCACATGTTTGTATCGACTGGTGTCGATACGAGTGAAAACTTATCTTTAAAATAATTATACGTATGCGATTCGTGATACGGTGGGAAAGTTAGGCTGATATAACTTTGACATGCCTGGTCTAACAGATCGGTGAACGACGATGTTGATAGACGTGAAACTCACGGCAATCTGTTCGTTTGCTCTAGCCAGAAAATTCACCTAAAATGGATTCTGTCCCCAAAGCCGAGCACAAAACGGAACGGCCACGCGATTTCGAAACGACACGGTTTAAACAGCTTCGCGTTCGCGAAGATATATTCGAGGCTACCGAACGCAACGAACCTAACCTGACTGACACTCGTCGGTGGAAATACCTCGAGGGTTGGTGAACGAGAACGAAAAATCGAACGGGGCGCGCATTTTCGACAAGCAACAGTTCCCATTCGACTTGGATCGATCGTGGTCCGAGAAGTATGTCGCGTTAACAGAAAAATGCAATCACTGGAGAAGATATAGCGCGTGAATCCTTCGGACTTGAAAGTCGCGGAAGACGAACAGTTTTTCTAATCGCGTACGTTCAATTGCACGCCACGTTATGATTCACTCCGCGGTCCGAAGTAGTCGAGATTTTTTTTTGTCTTTTTCTGGAAAGTATCAGCGTCGCCCGTACGAATATGTCAGCAGGATGGATATAATCGCGGATCGTATGCACACGTATGCATTTATTAGGAACTTACAGCACGATCAGTGGCGGACAAGCGCGCAGCACGTTCGGTATAGAGTACACCAGAGGCATATACCCGCTCCAAGCATACACGTATTCATACGTTCTCATCGCACGCGTCGCGACGGAGCACGCAGACATCGACGACAACGAAGGCGACAACGGATAGGAGAGAGAAACAGAGGGCCAGCGAGCGACACACATATGTCGTTGTGTGGTACGCGTTAACACAAATACAGTGTGTGTAGCTAACCGCGCACTCGTGTAGACGCGAGTTCGTATAAAGAGGAGCGGAGCACATTCACATATAGAGAGAGAGACATACACAACCGACGGCAACCACGGCGCAACGAGGAGAGAGAGAGAGCACTCGTTGTTGTTTACGTTCTACATCTGAGCCGTAGAAAGTGCACAGAGGATACCACGACGTGTCCCTCTCAATGGCAAAGACCTACTGGGATTTCCTTACTCTGCTTGTGACGTCCGAAACCTCTCGCATGATAGCCTCAAACGCCGCTCTCTCCTGCGCTTCCTTCTGTTTGTGCAGCGCGATCTTGTCACTGAATTTCCGTGGATTCGCCATGATGGCTGGGGCACTAGATTTTCCCAACACTCGCGAGTTATCGTGCACCCACTACCGTGCGCGCCTCTACCCCCGCTCGCGAGTTACCCTTTTCACCGATCGCACCAATAAGGGCTCGCTAAATTACACACCACGTTCGAACCCGTAACCTACTGCCTTCTGGATGGCACTGCCGATCACTGATACGCAAGATTATGCGGCGCAGCGCGCCACGCGCATCGCGCAGGAGCCGCTTTTCGCGGGCCCATTGGTCGCATTGCTCCCCCACCATTCTGTCGCACCCGCAATAAAAAGCCGACGACACTTTTCCGGGTGTTCCGAAAGCCCAAGTTCTCTTGCCTCTTCCCAGACATTCTACTCGATAGATAACGCAGATTAATACCTGTGTTTTATAACTAACTTTGTTATGCGAGCGAAGAGAAAATAAATATCATCTGCTTTTCATCTTGTCTATCGTTGTATGTTTTTCACCGTTTTTCCCCTCATCTTTCCTACAATATGCATAAACAAACTTTTTCTTACACTGTTCCTTTTATACCTAATCCTAACAATGATGAATTATTCCTCAATAATTTCTCTTAGAGATGTAATTCAAATATTATTTTTTCTGCAACTACAAAACTTTGAAATATTTATATCGTTTTTGTTTATATTAACCGAGACGACGCTTGATTTAAATCAATTGTACAGTTCTTCTATATCGATTGAGAAGGAAATAGATGGATGCATGCATCATCGATGTATAATATGTCCGAAAGCACTCCAATGAACTGCGAAATAAACTATGCATATTTTATACATTTTCCTTAGAGACGTCGACGAATGTTTAAAAAATGATGGAGTAATTTCCTTTTGTTTAAAGTATTACTGACACTTAACAAATAAAAGTGAATATATTTTTCTGAAATTCATTAAAAGATTTTCTACTCGATAAATGTTTTATTTAAAATACAATAAAAATTTGAAATGCAATAATAATAAAAATGACAAAATTCGACAAGGATGCTTATATTGAATGTTTACCATTAAATTTGTATAAAGAATTAGTTAATGCATTGAACAAAGATGAAGCTTGGATGACATTAGCAAGTTATGTAGCTGAACAACTGCAATACTCATGGTAATAAAGAAACTGACGATTAAACAAAGTAAGTAAATTGTATTGTATATTAATTATGAATTTTTTTCAATAACTTGGAATCTAGTACTTCATGGATAAAATCTTTGCAAGAAACAAAACAGCCTGATGATTCACCAGGACAGAGACTGCTCTTTGAATTAAACATTAAAATGTGCACGGTAGAAATTTTACGTACAATGTTGGATGATTGCGGACTTGCTAACATTCTTTCCATTATATCCGACCCAGGTATAATGACGCGCATTTATTCGTTAGTTCTTGAACAAATTGCATACTTTTTATTTATAATCGTGTGTTTAGAACCTCTGAAAATTATTGTACACCCGATAGAGAAATTGCAAACCGATACTTTAACAATATCGTTCGGCCGGCATCTTCACTTGTATTGTAAAGCAATTGGAATGCCACCACCAAGTTATGCATGGTATCACGAAGATACGCAATTGCAAAATTGTACCTCTAGTGAACTTGATATTACTATCAACAGCGCTTCTCAAGCAGGAAAATATAAATGTAAAGTGTTCCAAATTAAAAATGACGGAATTCTTCTATCAACTTTGACCTCAAAAACCATAACTGTACAAATTTTTCCCATACCCGTTACAATAGAGGAACAACCACAACCAATTTTAGAAGTTAAAAATCATGAAAGTTTTACGCTTCGCTGTAAAGCCAATAGCTATCCTAAACCATATTATCAATGGTTTCATGATAATACAAAATTAGAGGGAGAAGTTTCTAATACGTTACACGTAAGAAGAATATTGTCCATTGTTTATGCTGTATTATTTGATATTGTCCTAAAGTATGTTATTTATAATTCCAGATAAAACAATTTAGTTCAAGACACGAAGGGAGATATTACTGTTATATTTATAATGACTTTAGCGAAGTATACACTCAAAGAGCTTGTGTAATGGTAATAATAGATATAAACAATATTTCTTGTCCCTACTTTATGACTATGTTTTAATTTTCTTGTTACATTATTCGACAGCTTGATCTTCCGCGATTAAAAGCAGTCGCAAAAATAGCTTTAATTATTGCAAACGGCGAGTATGATTATCACGAGTGTCTTTCAAATCCTAAAAATGATGCTGCTCACATTGGTAACCTCCTTAAAGAAATAGGATTTGAAGTAATTTGTCTGTTGAATTTGTCAATTACCCAAATGAGAACTGTGATCAAATTATTTAGCAAAGCCCTGGTTGAAGGTGTATATGGTAAGGTATTACAAAACACGAGATATAAAAGATGTACAATTTAAAAAATAAACCTTTCTTATATAGGTTTATTTTATTTTGCTGGCCATGGTTTTAAGATGCAAGAGAGTTATATGCTTGCAATAGATGCACCAAAAACATACTTAAGAAGAGATGCAATATGTGAAAGCGAACTACTGGCTGCATTTCTTGAAAATGATCCTGAACTGTTAATTATTATCTTAGATATATGCCAAACTTTACCTTCTAAGCAAGTCTTTGATTATTTTATTTTCTCTATAGTCATTTCTCTTTGTACCTAATTCATAATGTACATTTTCAGAGAATTTAATCCAGAAATTTACAACGAAGTGCCAACAGTGAATGTATATAAAAGCAAGAAAAATCTTCGAAATTTAATTCAAGCATACTCGACATCTAGCCATCGACCTAGTTATGAAAGAGAAAATAGTAAATATGGCTTATACGTGACGCATCTTAGTAAATATATTAATAAAGATATACCAGTCACAAAATTATTTGAAAACGTAGGGAAGTGTAAGTGGTTGAATTTCTCGATATGTTGCGCGTGTATATTACATTATGGTGGCACAAACATTACATTTTAAGGTTATGTTTCTAGCGATTGATAGTTGTTTCAAAGGCAAAGAACGCAATCAAATTCCAATGTTTGCTTCGTCCATTACAAAACCATTTCGTCTTACAGATGCTACTTATAAAAGTAATTTTTCTTTTCTTGATATCGTAATGTGAATCATTATTACTAGGGGTGTGCCAGAACCCGAAATCTCGGGTCGGGACGGGTACCCGAAACTTTCGAGATTCTCGAAATATTCGAGAGCTCGACCTCATCCAGATTCATCACGACCATCGGGTTCCCGCACACCCCTAATCATTACTATTTTAGTTATTACTTTAAAGTAATTAAATCGTTACAGATAAACCCCCAGCATCTATAAGTTACTTAAATGAACTTATATCATTTTCAACAAAAACATTAGATGTAACTTTTAAACAAGCAAATATATGTACCAAAGTTACTATATCATTATTCATGGAACCTTATTTAAACTTAATAAAGGTGAAACTCCCGGATTTGCAAAATGTAGAAATAAATTTTTTTAATTCTGTTCCGGCAAAACGAAATAATTTATATCACAAACAACATAAGAAAGAATGCTGGATTCACAATCCTCAAGTTAACGATGTACGTATTCTTTTTTTATTTTGAAAAATTTTTATTGTTATGAAAATACTGTTATAATTTGAGATCTGTTACAGGGACCAGTAGTTATCTCTATATCTAAACATGGAACTCCTATTGGAGCAACCTTACTACACATACAAGAATATATACCTTGTTTACTAAAAGTTATAAACTCTTGAATATAAATGTTCATACTTTTATTTTGTAGTTTTTAAAAAAGAAAACAACACATGAAATTAAATGTGATATCGACGGTACATACAAATAAAATATTTACATTTGTTTGATTCATACATGCATTTACCTTTTCAGTATGGAAGTGGACTACTTAGAGATGTTTTGTTTAAGTGTTTTCGTTAAAACCCTATTAAAAATATAAGGCAATTTTATAATTTGTGATACACAAAAAAAAATATATTGCAAACAATTTATTATTTTACTTACACATGTAAAATGGTTTACCACGGTTATTAACCACGAACCTCCTACACCATTTACATACTTTCTTTGAAATGTATAATTGCAAGCAACAGAATGCCCAGCCGGTATGAAACTCTTGAGGAACATCTCTAATTCATTTTTTTGAACATCACTTGGTTTATTTAATGGTATTATGTAAATACCAACATACGATACTTCAATAATAAAATCTTTATCTGCAATACATTTGCACGACATTAAAGGAAGTAGAAAAGAAAACCCTGGTATTACCAAATTGAAAATACATATTTATAAAAATAATTTATGCTCTCAAAATTTTTAATATAATTACCTTTATCTTGATCTCTTTTGATACTTGTAGTATAAGGAACAGGGTCCACCAACCAGTCTTGACGTACAGCTATTAAATTTCGTTGCTCTGGAGTCAAACGGCTTACATTTTCCTTTAATATTTCTAATGTTTTGTCTTCTACAAGGCCATTCAGTTCTTCATAATTTTCATTAGCCAATGCATGGGATACTATATCCATGGCCTAAAAAATTACTGCGATCTATTTTATGTTGCAAATAAACCTATTTAAGATTATACATGTTTTTATAAATTGTTTCGCATTACTCGAGGTTTTTAAAAAATAATATTAACATATAATAATCCATTACTAAAGTCTAATAAAATAAATATATATAATAATTATAACTAATTCGATAGCAACTAATTGAAATATAATAAATTGTTAAAAATATCATACTTGTCTTGCTCCTCTATTGAATTCGTTTAAACTAAATTCCCTGTCAATGGTAAATGGAACATAAATTCTAAGGAAAATTTGGCTATACCAGAGACTTAGTGAAGGATTATGATATTTTGGAACGTCCATCAAACTTGGTAAATTAATTTTTTCGTTAGGTGTACTCGCGAATGGCCGGTAACGTATCGGAGGATTCAAATTTATCGTATTCATACATTCGAATTCTGTCCAATAATGAATTAATTTCTTTTTATCTTGATTCCTACTACACATAAGAAGGGTTGTGAAAGATCGTATTTGCGTGTGAAATACACATTTTTTTAATACCAACGATAACATTTTGCTTTTGTTTAAACTATATTTCAGTACAAACAAAGTGCATGCAAAGCGATTCGTCTAACCTATACAAGTCGGTGAATTGATATTATTCTTCGTTTTACGTAATAATGTACAAAACTTGATAAACGTTAGTATGGTGTAATCATATAGTGTAATAAATTTCTAATGTTAAATTTTATAATTGTTTACACATTCATCACAACATTTTTGTACGTAGATTGATCGTGTAACGGTATAAAATTCTTCCTACGATCAGGATTATGTTGCCATCTGGTATGAATGATATGAACATCCATAAGAAACTAGTTAAATTTTGTTATTACAAACATTATTTGGACAAAAACAAATATCTATAGGTACCAATGGTCGTTCTTAAGAGCTGGTTCCAGTTCAGAACCTTCAAAAACTCATTTTTTTCCACATTAATCACTTCTTTGACGTTTGAAATGGGTATCTGGTAACATTGCACTGATCCCACTTCTCGGCGAGAGTATCCAGAGTATTTCTCGACCGAAATTCACTTCTATTTGTCGTAAACTGTTCAAATTTAACATTAGGTTTAATTTATACGTACAAGATTATTTGATACTTGGTTCTACATTTGGGTTAGATCTGTATTAGGAACATAGGTTCTACATTTGGGTTTTAAGGAACTATAAAGACTTTTGTAATTTTAACCTTAAGTTCTAATTATTCACAATGAAATTAACAAGTACTTTATTCGCAAGAATGGGTAATTTGTCGAAAAGATATTCGAATTTACCGGATCGTTACATAAAACGTGTAACCGAACAAGTACGGAGGTTTGGTTTGGATACACTACGATTGTTTACATTTTCTTCCTTTCCGTTTATACTTTGTTCTACACGTAGGTAGAGTGGAGAACACCTCGTGGAAAACCACAATACCTTCCGCGTAAAGTGGAACATAAGCCTTACTTTTCCATTCATCGACCATGGACACACGGTTTTCAAGCTCAAAACAAGTTTCGTAAGAGTCAGACTTTTACGCACGTCGAACCTATAAAGAATTGGAGTTACTTTCGCGGAGATCGTGTATGTTGTTTTCGATCGTATTTTTGTACAACGAACCACTATGTACTATTAAAATGTCACTCTTTCAGGTGGAAGTAATATATGGCCCTGACAAAGGAAAACAGGGAATAGTAAGGGATATTATACGAGAGAGAAATTGGATTATTGTTGAAGGACTTAATACGAAGCTAGAATGTGTTGGTAAATCTAAAACTTTCCCAGGTGTTTATACTCGTGTAGAGCAGCCTCTACTGGTTCCTTCGCAAGTCCAATTAGTGGATCCTGCTGATCTGTAAGACATGTGCATTATAGAAAATGATATATATATTGTATGCAAACATGCGTGTGCATATTTATATATTTTAGAAAGGGTACAGAAATAGAATGGCGGTATACAGAGGATGGTACCCACGTGAGAGTGTCTTCTAGAAGTGGTAGAATAATTCCAATACCTCGTTCACACAACGAAACAATAGATTATAAATCCCCTGAATTATACGTAGAACAACCTAAGGATACCTCAGCAGGTGATGTACAAGAGGTAACATTTGAGGTATGTAACTAGTATGACCTAATAGATACATATCATTTTTGATAGCTGATAATTCTTATTATTTTACTATATCGATACTCAGGCTAACTTGAAAACATTTGAAATGGATATTATGGATAAAATGGGTATCAAAGAGGATCGTGTACCTAAAAAATATTACTGGTATTGATTCTGTTATATATGTAAATGATAGTTTAATAAAATTTGTAATGTTCATTAAGTATGTACATATGTGTGTTTTATTTTGATGTTTCCCTTAAAAATTTTTTTTTTCTTATTATTATTCAGATATTTTTAATTATTCGGATAATCGAAAAATTCGGACCATACGTTCAGCTCTGGTATTTAGTATTACGTATACGAGACCAGGCGTATCGTCCGTTGTATGTTAAAATTAATAGCAATCCGGATTTAAAAAAAAAAATTCCACACCACATCTCTGCAGTTCGATTGCATGATTTATTATCGAGAAAAGTTACATTGCAGCGTTTTCTATTCGTGAATCGCGTATAGAAAATATGTAAGAGGGAAGAGAAGCATACGTAACATTAATGAATCAAGCGATTAATCGAATATTTCGTAAATATCTATGTTAGATTAAAATATTTTGTTACTGTGGATTGTTTTTTATTTTTATTTAACGCCTGTTAGTTTTATTATTAACACACATACATATCACAGCACGATTTTTAACAAACGCAAATCTAGAAACGAATGTCAGTCTACATTTAAATACTCCAGTAACGTAATGCGTTATATTAACATTTCTTCTTTTTTTTTTTTTATATTACATGTGACATTTTTCTAGGTCTGTTGCATTTCAAATTTTTGCACATTATTCTTATTTACAAATCTTTCTCTTCTATTACGTCATAACATTTCGTGTATACACACAAATTGCGAGACTGAAGCATGTCGATATACACGCTTGTTTGTTTCTTCGTTACGATCGCAGCGGAGGATAATACTAGCTAATTAGGACAAGCGCTCCTCCTTTTACTATGATTAGATGTATTGAAAACAATGCTAGAAGATATAAATTATAGTCGATGGGTACCGCAACAAAATGAAAAAGGAAAAGAAAAAAAAAAAAATCTCCCTGAAAACCGAGGTATCCAAACAATTATTTAACGTTACCTCATTATATAAGCACGATATGTAAATCCTAAGTAACATTCCAACAGAATATTCGTTATTCTTTAACAATAAGAAAATACGAAACGAATCGTTAACGTTAGAACGTAATTTCAAACACGAGATTCGCTACAGAATCATCGATACAATTACAAATTGTATCGTTCCATCGTTTCAACAAGGGAATCGAACAGTTACGGTTTTCAGGTTAAGATATCGTTATATCGTTCCACGTATTTTGTAGCGTCTCGGTGTAATATATTTAGAAATACGTTTGTTCGTCGATTACGGATCGTGCACTTCTATAGCCGTATTTTCTATCGTACTCCTCACGATTTTTGCACGATACGTTTACCTTAATTGACTACCGTTCACGATGATTTGGTGGCAGGGTGCCTGACTAGGAGGTTTACTTCACCATCGTGTAGTTTCTTCATCAGAGACCACGCTTCGATTCTTGACATTCGCGTTACATCATTACCGTTCACTTCTAACAACTGGTCCCCTGCTTTTAAGGCACCTGTCTTCTCAGCAGCACCTCCTATTTCAAATAAACGAATCATTGTTACCAGCAACAAACATTTCAATTAGAACTCTTCCGTTAGAAATTTGTAGAAAAACTTGGTCTGCAAAAGGGCAAAATTTGAATGTTATCTGCAAAAAGCAAAATATAAACACAGATGAGGTATACGAGTAGACCTCGCATTCAATATACTTTTTCGAACTATTTTTCTAGGGCTCTAAAGCCCCGTTACTATTTTCCCACTGCGTGGGAATTCGGAGGTATGCCTATTCACCAAAAACGATTATAATTGACCCCCGCAACTGAAAATAATTTTTTTAGAACGATTTGAATTTAACCCATCTCGATTTTTCTTAAAATCGGTGTCCGAGTCGGCAGCGTCCAAGAAATTGTACCGTACATTCGAGGGGAAAGAATACGGAAGAAATTATCGAACGTACCGGTAAATATTTTCTTGATCATCAGCGGCCTGTCCCCGAGAGGACTGTCTCTGCCCCCCTCGAGACTGAATCCCAGACCAGCGCCATCTTTATATACCGCTATAACGGAGGGTGGCCCCCAAGCAGTATCCTCCGCGACACCGTTCGTCTCGAATCCTTTCAAACAAAGAGCAGAAAACCCTTCGGTTGCCGCGATCGACTCGGAATTACCTTTTTTAAAGGTCTCTCACCTTCGATGATAGTTTCGACGCTCGCGGTTCGTGACTTCAACTTGTTACACCCCTCCTCAGTCCTTGCACGAGAAACGACCAAAACGACTTCCGACCTAGGTTGCTTGAGCACCGTTAAGCTCTCTCTGTGCGTGAGATCGCGCGTGCTTCTACCATTTATGCTCAGAATCCTGTCTCCTCGTTGCACGCGGCCGTCCTTGTCCGCTATGGAATGCACCAACACACGATGGACCGTAATTTCTTTGACTTCGCAATCGGCACCTCCGGCCAGCGTGATGCCAACGCTGCCTGTGGGGTTCTCCTTATGAAGAAGCACGACGATCACGTCGTGAGCGCCTCGAGCTTCCTCGAGGCTCGCCTCCTCCACCAATTGCGCCAGTTCCTGCTGCGAGATCAGGCTCGTGCTACTGGCCAAAGAGCTGATGCTGCCAAATTGTTCGCTGCAACATCTATCCGTGTCCATGTCCGTCCCGATCGGGGACAGATTCTCGTCGATGCTGCTGTCCAGGCTCGGGAATCGGTTATGACCTGTCCCGGGACTCGGATGTTGACCGGACGAACAGTTCACCTCCATTTTTTCCAGAGCCTTCTTCATGTCCGTCACGCTGGCGCTCCTTCTACCAAGGTTCCTTGTGGTTGGAATCTTGGACAGCATCTTCGACTTGTCCAGTTCCACCATCTCGTCGCCGCTGTCGACGAATCTCGATTTACCCAACGTCGGTATCTTCGAGACGAACGGCTTCTCCTCGTTCCAGGACTCGTTCGAGGTCGTCGAGTTTCGCCTAGCGTATCGACTGTCCCTGGACTCCCAAAGAGATCTACTTTGAGTAGCGGACAGAACGGTACTCTTCTCGGCTCGTCCCTCGACGCTCTGAGCACGCGATAACTTCACATCCGCCTTTGCGTTCAGAATGTCCTCCAAGCTCATCTGGCTCTTGGATCTTCCGAAGCTGCCTTCGTCCACGTGTATAGCCGATCTGGATCTACTCTTTGTCGTGAGGATCGTCAGAAGGTCGTTCTGGTCCTCGGATGGCCTCTTGGATGGCACGCCCGAGCCGAATCGTTGCCTGGAAACTTCCATCGGATCGGACTCGTCGTTGATCGGGTTATTTCTATTTGTCGGCGAACCGAGTAGCTGCTGTTCAACCGCGTTCGATTTGTTGTTCTTCGGCGTTTTATTTGCAGGGGCAACGTCCGCGATGTGAGGCTTTTTCTCGACCTTGTTGGCTGCTTTCATCTCCGCGGACTTGGCGAGAGCCTTGGCCTCCGTGCGCACCCACATCTTGAGGTCGTTCGAGGGCTGTAGCATTTCAGATTTGGGTGGTCGTACGACCGGCGGCGGGACGCTCCTCTTCGGAGGCAGCTTGGGTTCTTCCTCCTTTTGAAACGAGTTACCGTCCGCGAACGTGTCCGTCACCTCTATGTAAGCGATCTTTACGTCCTGCGGGCTCGAGACCGCCTTCACGCGATTCTTCTGGTGCGCGTCGTCGCCGTTCTCCGCGATGCTCGAGCGACGTTCCTCGTCGGCGAACTTCCGTTGGATCAGCGGCGATCCGTTCAGGTCTCTTCCGCTTCGACACCTGGCGCTCGCCAAGATGTTCTTGCGATTTATGGCCTCTACGCTTTGGGGCTTCAGCACCCTTCTGGAGAGAGACTCCGCGCTCGCTTGGGAACCGGAAGTCAAGGTGGAGGAGGTGCTGCAGTTCGTTTCGGTGCTGTTGGATCGTTTCAATTGCCTTTGCGGTATCTGGGAGTTCCTCGCGATCGACTCTATCGGCTGCGGCGATCTCGGGTCGGAACCGCTGCTGCTGGACGACGACCTCTCCGAGGCGAACGTTCTCTCGGCGAGGATGCTCGATCTGGCGTACTCCCCAGCGCTTGACTCCCGAGCGTACGTTCTGGTCGGGCTGTCTATGATCAGAGCTCGATTTCGGTAGTTGGTCTCGGTGGAGACGTACGATCTCTCGGACGAGACGGTGGATCGTTCGGAGGGAACCGGTGACATGGGAGGACTGAAACCCCGGGAGATGCTGCTCTGCGAGCTGCTCACCGCGGAATCGTTGTCCGAGTCGTCGTAGTCTATTCGCGTCTTCCTCTGTACAGCCTTCGGTCTGTTGCGCAGCCCCTCGGGCGAACTGGCCGTCGACGCGTACTCGAAGCTGTAATCGCTTCTCGTGGGGCTGCAGATGCTCTCCAGACTCTTCGGCGGCTCGGAGGACATCGTCGGGGTCGTCGGAGTCGCCTGGGACGTTTTCACGGTGTTGCCGTTCACAGAGGAATTCGACGACGACGAGCCATAAACCGCGAGGCTTTTCCTTTTGAAGGCCGGAGAGTATTTCGAGTGTATCTGAGGAGCTGGCATCTTGAAGGACGTCGTGGCTTTCAGGGGCATGCTCGCCGTGCTCGCGTTACTCGCCAGAGAACTCTGGGAACCCCACTTATCCTGTATGTTGGCTTTCGGTAGCTGATGCAACAGAATGGAATCCCGCGACTTGATCTCGGGCAGATCGACGATGGGCGCGTCGATGGGTATGGCTTCCTTCTCCGGGATGACCAGACCCCTGAGCTTGGATATCGACCTCCTCCTCTGCTCGATCAGCTGATTCAGGCTGTTTCTCCTGGCGTCTTCGCTGGGCCTTCTGAACGTGGAGGCGAGAGAGTTGGTCCTGGAGATCTGCGAGATGGCGGAGAGGTCGCTGGGCATGGAGACGCGATCCTGGCCGTATGGCGTCGATCCGGAGAAACTGGTGGCGCGGGCGATCGCCGTGACGGGTTTCAGTGGCACGTTCGAAGAATTCTGATTGCTGGCGACGTTGTTTTGCGGGCTACCGGACAGCGTTGCGTTCGAAGCGTAGCTCTTGGATTTCTCGAACGTGCTTATCAGCGGTTTCGGCGGAACGACGGGGAACGTTTTCGAAACGTGAATCGTCGGCGAGGCTAACAACGGACTCTGAGGCACGCTGGGCGACCTTTGCCCGTACTTCCTACCGGAATCTTGGCCGACGTTCCTGCCAGAATCGGTCAAGTCCAAGGAACTCTGCGTTCTGTCCGCGAAGAATGAGGTCCTCTCCTTTTGTCCCGGATTCTTCTCGTCGCTGCATACGTCTTCCGTGGACTTGTACTTGGACAGTCTTCTGCAGTTGTTCGTCGCGGCTGCCACCGTGACAGCGTTCGGAAACAGGGGCCCGTCCAGGCTGCTCTGCGACGAAAACATGGCGATCTTGTCCCTGACGGACCTCTCGGATTTGTCGTCCTGCCTCCGGAGCTGGCCGTTCAACGAGTACTTCTTCTGCGGCGACTCCGTGTTCCTCGCGTACAGTCCGATCGTCTCCATCTTGGGCGGGCCTGGTGAAAATAAAACAATGTCTAAAATCGTCCTAGGATGTTGTTGGTGGATCGCGGAGAAACAGCGAACGAACGTTACCTGTCAGCGGCAGAGGCGGTGGCGTCTCCAACGGCTCTTTCTCGTGGTCCTGGACTTCTTCGATAACCGACGCGTCTTTGTGATAGTAACCGGTGATTTCGATCTTCTTCTCCGATAGTAGGACGTTACCGTTACCCTGATTCCCGTAGCTGGAATAGTTGGTCACGGACGTGGTTTTTTTAACAAAGTCGTCCGCGACATAAGGTTTGCCATCGTCGACGCGGGACTCTCGAACGGAGGCGCTCGTGTCTTGGCACACGCTCTCGACGCTGGTCTTGCCGTTTATCTCGATGCTCGGCAGACCGACCTTGCTCACCTCCTGACAGACGTTCTCGACTCGGTTCACCCTGCTATCGGACAGAATTATGCTCTCCGAGCTGACCGCGTTGCTCTCGATCAGCTTCAAGTTCTCGTTGCCGACGAACGACTCGCTCTCGTTGCAGACGAGACCGCCGTTCGCGGTCATCGTCGACGCACTAGTCGTCGTCGTCGATGTCGTCACGAATCGGTACTGCTGGTTGTTGCCGCCGAACTCTTGGTACGCTGCTGGAAACTCGTCCCCGTCCGGGGGTAGGCGCTGACCGCCTCCGCAGTTGTCCATTCTACCATTTACCGTCTCTGAAATCACACACGAACCAGCGTCAACGATACGTTTACCAATATTGTACATGCTTATACGCATCCATTAAAAATGCACGTTTGGTTAATTTAAATGAACTGACTCCGAGGAACGTGGGTGTAGGATAGACACGTGTGATCGATCGCGTGTTTATACTCGGAAATTAGTAGAGATCGACGGCCCTCGAACGGAGGAATCTGTTTTATATATAGAGAACAATTAGGCGATCGGTCGAACCGGCTGTTTTCCGTTCGCTGTAATCGAATTCGGAGCTCCGTGCGTGTAGAACCGATGAAATCACGCTCGCGTGCACTCGCCGGATAGATGTTGCAATCCGTCGTCCGACCGATCGACGTTCGTTTGCTCGCGATCGACTCCGGACCGTTTCGAATACGCTTCCAAGCGGATTGCAACGGCAGCGGCCGGTGGGAGGGATCGCGTTTAATAGAACGTACCATCCAATTCCGATAAGAGCAACCGATGGATTTAAAAGAAAAAAAGAAAAACCATCGCGTACTCGCGTGTGTTTCTTGTACGTTGTTTCTGCGTTTATCGCTCCCCGGCAACCGACCGGGTGCTGCGAAACGCAGGAATTTCAATTTACGCGAGAGCACCGAAGGAAATATTCCCATTTAGTTCGGCCCGGCTCTATCGTAAAGACGCACCTTCGTCGTCACGGTTCGCGTTTACAGTTTTTTAAACGGACGTAGACGATAGCGCGGTCCGAGCGAACGTACAAACAAGATTACGAAGGTTCTCCGCCGGTTGATCTGGATTTTCCAAAGGTCAATCAGGAATTCCAGCGCAGAAACGGAGCAGATTTTTCCGCCACTCTCGCCGAGAAACGACTCGCGCACGCTCCATATCGTATTCCACGTTTATAAGAAAAAAAAAGAACAATCGATCCTCCGTTCTCGTCCAAATCGTCGTTAAAAGTAAATCTCGAGACTCGTCGCGAAACAAGGACACGTCGTCCGCGAAAGAACCCACGAGAGTCCTGGTTATTTTAGCCGATTTACGCAACAGCGTTACTTTCACGCTTGACGTTGGGCGAGTCCGGTCGAGCACGCGCCGCGCGGGAATCGCGCCCGCGAGCGTACCTCTCGCGGATCCGCGGTTTTTTCGCGACCGGTCGATCGAATCCAAGGATTTCTACATTCTAACGCTCTCGCTGATAAAACTTGACGCGCGCACCAACGTTATCTGCGCCCGCGAAGCGTGTTTGTCGCCCGGCTCTTTCGCTCCGAGTCGCGAAAAACGCACGCGCGCCCGGACAAATATTTTCAGATACCTTTCGAATCGGACGGTTTTAGCGCTTCCGCGTTTCACTTGGCTTCCGAAGAGCTGTTGGAACGAAATCGTGTCCCACGGGGGATGAATGTCGCTCGTTCGAGAAACGATATAAATCGAAAGGAATCATGGTTTTGGTCGCGGTGGATCGATCGGGAATATTAAATGTAAATCTTCCGTTGCTACGAAGCAGTCAGTAGCATCGAGAGGTCTGCTCCAACAATTGTAACTTCCCTATTATCCACAATTTCAATTGACGTCTCGACGATAAGGGAGTCGGCGTCATTTATAGCTCGATAGCAAATTTATCATCCGCGCTGGCCGTCAGCAGCGTGCGCCCAAGCCATAACATTTCGCTATCTCGGGTACACGATTATTAATTTTAGAATGATTTCTCGAGTAAAGTATTATTCCAAAGGACGGTGTAACGTTTCTTGCGCCGTACATTACCACTATTGTACCAGTAACAACGTTAACTTTGCAACATTTTTTTCTGTTTGTAAAGTGTTTCTTTGGTGATCGAGTGTCCCAGGGTTAATCCACCGCTGGCAAAACGCGCGTCCCGTTGCAACTTCTGATCAACATTCCCGGCCGGCTGCCGTTCGATGGAACTAATCGCCGATACACGTGCAAACCGGAGCGCTGTTCCCGTATCGCGATGCACCACGTGCCATCGGAAATTCCATTCACCGGCAGCGGAGAATCGCGGCAGCGTATTATGTAATTCGTAGACGAACAGCGCCTACGAGTTTCCTGTTTCTACCAACGGCGTTCCGGCCATTTAACAGAAACAGAGAGAACCTCTCGTATCGCTCGCAAACTTACACGCCGCTTGGTTTCCGCATTCATCCGATTCTCCGGACGATCGACATTTTTATCAGGACTCGAGCTTTTTTACGCGCCACGATACCGAGGATCGGGTTCCCGCTGCGAACAGCCAAGTCAGGATCCCCCGGGGGAACGGAACTTGCGTTAGATTCTCCGAGCAAAAGGGACTTCCTTACGCCAACCAGAGTTCTTTATTACTCGAATAACGAAGGGAGGGTTCGGTTATTTCGAGTCTAATATCCCCTGGTGGTGGAGGTTACTATCGTTCTGTCCAGCAGCTTGGAATTGGGTCTGAATAGAACTATTGGAGAGTTTTGCTCTCAAGAGTAAAAATCCTAACGAGTGACTAACCAGCTACCGGCACGAAGACTCTTCTGTTTGCTCGTGTGAAAGGGCACTTATTCTCGATACCGACTCTCAAGAATAGAACCGAAATGGACACCGGGCATTAGAGTACACGCGGTGACTTTTGAAGCGTGCTCGCATGTGTGCGCCGCGAGGTGTCGAGTGTAATTTAGTTTATTGTTCCATCGAATAATATAGACTCGAGCCAGAAAGAAAAGACCCAAGTGAAAACGTCCTTACGTGCAATGAAACTGGGGGAATCAAGATTGGGTCGTTCAAGTACCCTTCCTCTATGATACGGAGAATGTTAAGAGGGCTAGTTGATCTTTGCCCCCCTGGTAAGTGGCTAGGGGGTAGATTAACATGCTTGTAACCATCACGATGGTACAGGTACTGCAAGCACCAAACACTCGCTGGATGCACGGAGAACTTCCGTTTTAATTCGATCAAATCGCACGCGTTTCGCGTTCCAGCAACGGTTGCATTCGTCGAACGCACACACGGAACGCTCGGGCTATCCCCGATATCGGTACAAATATGGTGCGATCGCTGGAACACACAAACACGCCACATCGGAGCGAGTCGCGTCTCTCGAGTACACGCGTATCGTCGATTAGTCGTGTCCGCCGGCATTCGGCTAGGAATTTTAATCGGTACGTCAGCGACACGCGCGTGTGCCTCGAGCTCGTGGGTGGATCTCCTCGGCGAACGTGATTTCGAAATCGTGAAATCTCGTTCCCCGACGCCTTGTACGCTCGATCGAACAAACGTCAACTCCTTTGCCCTCCTTTTCCACACGACATGGAATTACGATTGTTTTACCAGGGTGACCAGGTTTTCAGAAACGAACGGACCGGAGAACGTTGGACACCCAAAGGGAAAAAGGCTTCTCGTGACTCGGATCGTATAATCGAGCGATCGGTAAGTACAGACCTCGAGCGTGTCGAAAAATCGGGCATCCGGCAGCGTGCTCCCTGCGTCGGGCTTCCTCACTAGCGATTTCATCCTATCGGAGTCCGGTTCGCACGCTTTGCTTTCGAACGAGTCGCTGTCCCACGCGAACCGATCCAGAGAATAGCGATTACTCGTCCAAGGGCTGGACCACTGAGAGTATCGTCGCGGTGATTTCACGAAACCGGGACTCAAAAACGTCCATGGTGGGTCCCGACCCTGGAGGACTTGTTCGGAGAAAAACGAAGAGAGACGACTCGAGTTAGAGGGTGGCGGAGAGAAGGAGAGAGGACTCGTTCTTACCGGTAAGAAGGCTCTCGTAAGACTGGACGACATTGCTCGTCGAGGCCAGCTTCCGCGGTTAGCACCGACATACGCGCTTGCACGAGAGAAGGGATAAAGCGGCGGCTGTCATCGCGACGTGTCGCGAACACGTTTTTGGTCCCCGACTTTCGGGATCGGTGTCCCTACATCGCTTACGAAATATCTCTGGTCCACCGAAACATTTAGATTACGATCTATGGACGTTATATGGTAGAGCATTTGTTGGAACCGCGTTTTCATTTTTCAGACGACCAAAAACATAGTTTTGTTCGGGTAATGCCCATACTGTTCGAGAATCTCTGATAATTTATCGGTGATCACCGAAAATACACAGCAAATCAATTAACGCTTATCGATATCGATACTTTTCAGTCGTACTAAATGCAAAACCTTTTGTATCTCGAAATAGAGATAAATGGATTTACTCATTTCCGTAACGAACGTCTCACGATGATTCACTTTGTGTTTGCTCTAAATGCGATAATAAAATAAAATAAATACACATATGTATACGCATCAATGAGTTAAGAACGACCAAAACTAGAATTTACTCCGAACTACGTTTGTAGGTGTCGACGAGTAGGTTTACAGCTCGAAAGATTTTACGAGAAAAAGTGACTCCGGTTTCTAGGTTTCACTGCTCGAAATAGAATTGGAGTAGCCATTCCGAGAAGCGTGATACACTCCGAAGGATGGAATGTGAAAAAAGCAGCGTTGCCCGAAGGTTAAAAAGTACTGATCGCAGAATGACGCGCGCTATCGACGAATATGTTTCTCGATGATTAATCTGCCGGCGTGTGTAAATCGTGCAAAGTGTTCGGAGTCGAGCCACGACAGTTCGCGATGTTGGACACACGAACGGAAGGTCAGCCATGGCGTCGAGTGGCGCGCGGCTGGGGATCCGAACAGGAAGTACCCTCCATTCCATTATTAACCGCTTAATATCGGCTGGATCTTTTAGCCCGTCAAGTTATCGCCGGAGATAGCTCTGATTGGATTTCGAGGTAAAATTTACAGCTCGAATTCACGATACAAGATACGGAGGATATTAGCGATCGAACCGAGTTCGAAGGACGCCGAGCACGGCGTTCGTTTTTAAAGAAACCGACGATGGTATCGCGTAGGTGGGGTTTACGGCGAATTGCCGTCGGATTATTTGAACAATGACGCGTTATTTACGAACGTTCTCGCGATTCTCCATTTTATCGTGACTCGCTGGCGGTCGAAAATATTTGAAGAGAATAAAGACGCGATTACATCGATCGTAACGGTAAATTACGTAATTAGGAGCGTTTGTCGCTTTCTTCGCAAAAGACAGATCCGTCGCGGGTGCCTAAAAGTCGTTTGTCCTTGGCGCGGCGGAGATTCGAATCGCGTCCCGCGAGTCTACGTGTCTCGAAAGCGTGGACCTTGTACGCGGATTATTAATTGTTATTTTTATCTCTCGGAACGGGCGTTCTTTTGTCACGACGAATCGCGTCACCGAGGCTTCGAAACGATCGGTCATTATCGAACCGAGAAACTTCGCCGTTTACCGTCGACCGTTCTGCGTTCTTTGTCCACTTACGTTCTCAAATATGTTAACCGTCGAATACACTTTGAATATCGGCCTTTTTTTCCATTTCGAAGGTGGAATGACTCAGACGAGCATACGTACAGCCTACCGCGATAAATCACCGACGTTACGTACACCAACGACGGCGTTGTTGGCGCTTTACGATATTTTAATTCGCAAGTTCGTTATCTTTACGCGTTTAGGATCCTCGAATTGCTCAAGAGGTTCGAACAGAGTGCTGTGGCGCCCGACTGGGTAGCATGGAAGAAGCAAGGTTTCGTGTCCTTAATTGCACAACAATTTCGTGTCCATTATCCAGCCCGCGGCCGGTGATTTGTACATCGGAAAACCGATTGTCTTTTTCCGGATACCTACCGGAGGCCTAGAAAAGTGGGACGCAACTTAATACGCCGAACCGCGTTGAAGGGTTAATATCACGTTGCAGATCTACGAGCGGCCGAGGCCACGTCTGCGCGTACGTTTCGCCTATTACTCGGCAAACCGCCTGTTCACGCCACTTGACGAGCGTGATTTTAATTGCCGCGTTCTAATTGAAAAGCACCGCCGAGACGCGCGCGAGCCCAACAACGATAGTCGATTCATACAAAAATCCCTAGATCGACTCTCACGGTCCTCGTTCGGGGGTTGTGCTTATTTAACCCCATCGCCTTTCCCGCCCAAACCTCTTTCTTCGAAGTATAGTCACTCCCATCGTAACGCAAGAGGCACGCGTGGAAGTTTATTTCAACCTGTGATTATGTTATTTTCGCGTAATTCGCCGCGTAAACACTGTTCGTGACCCGTTCGAACGTCCGGCACCGGGTAACGTTCAATTCTATTCGATAAGGGAGGCCCGATTCTCGTTAGTCGGTTGCGAAATCTGTTTTTTGCCGGTCAATCTCACACTCTGATTCGCGCGTTACATCACAAATCCGCGCGCGCGGTCTCTCCGACTTTTCCCCGAGTTTCGCGCTCGAGCGAGCGGACGCGCGGTGTCGCGGCCACCGAAATGAAAAGAATTCGAAAACGCCCGACGACTGGAATCCGCGTTACTTTCAGCTTGCTCCGCTCCAACGGTCGTCCGTTCGACTTCCGTTTTTCTCATCGACGGAACATCGCCAAGGATTTCCTTACTCCGTTTAATTCTATAGCGCCTCGATCGGCTCGAGGATACATTTCGATCGATTAAAACGTACATATCGACCGGCGATTGATAGAAAGCATTTAAAATTAAATAAAACATTTATCGCGAACGCATTAAGCGCTTTATCTGATAATACTCCCACACACTGCGCGAAAAGCATCGGAGAAAGGTATTTTGTGTGGCTTCGTTCGTCGATCGAGCGTGTCATTATCGAGTCATTAGCAAGGGTCGAGTTAATAGGCGGGGGCGGTTGGATCGGTTGGCGAAATCGGTAACGAATCGGTGATGAATCGGGAAAGGTTGATTTCGTGGCAGTCGTCGCGAGGCCAGCGTTCCTTGGTTTATGCACGCCCAGCTTTCGAGCGATCGCGCGGTTCCCACATTATTTTCTTCGCTTTGCTCGCTCGGCGTTGACGCGCGGGTCAAAGGGCCGACGAGTTAACCTTTCGGAGACGCGGTATTTTTGGGCCATGATGCGTACCATCGGACGCTGTTGTTTCGCAGCCACCAATGACAGGAGCCGCGTCCGCGAAAACTTCACCTTGGCGCTTTCGGTAGGCTTCGCGTATGCCTCGTTCCTTCTTTGACTCGTAAATCACATCGCTGCGGCGAAGCACGATAAAAGCGCGAGCATTCGCCAACGGTTAACCCCGACGCGAGTGCAGCGCTGTAACTCGGCGAAAGCAAAATCTCGACGAGTTCCATCGCAGGCGCCAGGAAGGATTTCCCTTGGAACGCGTCGATATTCCCCGGTTCGAATCCACAAAAATTCAACGACAGATACAACGTTGGTTCCGGTCGATGTCGATCTTTCTTTTCGATTTTCGTATCGCGAGGTTTGGACGAGGAAACGGACGAGCAGGAAGACCGCGGCGTGTTCCGTGTTCCATGGCCCCGAACGTTCGCGCGAAACTTTCGAAACGGCGAGCACGGGAAGCCCGGTGCACGCAATTTTTGTCGATGCGTCGGCTAGACAGGGAATATTCCATAGTCAGAAATAAGATTCCAGAATGCGGAAACATTGGCATCGAAGTCGGCGGCGCGCGTCGCCGTACGTGCCTCGAGACGCCGATGACGCCGACTTCGCATGCTCGCTCGTGGGAGCGGCTCGCGAAACAAGTAGGAAGCGAATCACACCTCGAGAATCTTATCCAATTAATTTTTTTACGGGGAAACTGGTGTCGGGGGCCCGGAGCTGCCACGGTCGCGCGAAAAGAACCATCGAATCGATAGAAACGGTACGTAGCACCGATGCACCAAGCGTTTCTTCGAGTTGTCAAAAGCCAAGAACACCAAGATGGCGTGTAACCGAGGAACGCGAAAGCAATAATTTCTGAGCGAAGGGGGATAGTTTTCCGGGCACATGCGCTGGCCGATAGGGTACGGCGAAGGCGGAACTTTTACGTTCCCGCGGGAACGAAATCGCGGCGTAGAAAATGCTCGCGGACGAAAATCGTGACTGGAACGTCTGAAAGATAGTTCGGTCTCCCTTGTTCGTTCTCGTCCCGTGGTCGACACGAGGCGTTCATTACCGGGCCGGAACGGGCTCCGTGACACGTCACGAGTATCTCAATGTGAAGTTCGCAACACGATCGAGGGCGAATTCTTGCGGACTTTCACCGGCGTCCGAAGGACGGGCCATCGTCGTAAAGTAGCGAGCATTTGCGGCTTAGCGCCATTGTTGGGCCGCGGAACGATTGTCGGTCACGCCGAGTCGACGTTCCTCGCCGCGCTTTACAAAAATTCATTCCAATCGCTTTCTTTTGTAAGAAGACGCGGTTCCGAGAACGGAATGCCACGCGAGAGTGCCTCGAAAGTTTAGACACACGATTCATGGCATTCGCTTTTCAACCGAGTTGAATAGACGTTTCGGAGAGCGGTTTGAATGCCGCGATGGGATCAAGCGTATCGAGACCCGATGGGGGTTACGTTCGAATCACGTGCGAGCACTTTCGACAAAAATCATTTCGCTGATAATTCTCTCTAATATGTTCGTAACCTCTTTCGTTCGCATAGCCGTGGTTGGTCCTCTTGAAAAGCGCGCCTCGAAAGACCAGCGTTCCGTTACAAGAATTTTTATGTCCGAGGGTGTTAAGCCTGCTGAAATTTACGGCATACTGCTTAAACAATACGGTACAAGTTGCAAGAATCGTGAGTGTTTTTAAAAGCGTGCAACTCGGTTTCGAAATTACCGAACAGCGTCGCTCACCTGCGTGGAGATTTTCAGCCCCTGTCTCGGAGAAGTTGGCGATTCCGTTGGCGTTGTCTACTTCGTCATTCCGTGCTGCAACAGGAGAGAAGGAAACGTATGAAAATATGAACGAACCACGTTTCCACGAATTTTCCATTCGCCACGATTGCGAATGACAGGCCGCGAGACGGTATCGCGGCTCTGACGTTTCAATTAAGAAAAATGACTTTGGAGGCGGTCGCGAATAAAGAAGGAGTCCGGCGATAATGAGTGGAGGTAATAGCTGCTGGCTAGTGGACACAGCTGCACGGTTGACATCGGTTGACCCGGCTCTTATTAAACATCCAGATGCACACAGAGAACCAGCGAGACGTACGACACGCGTCGAGCATGTACGGGCGAGATTAACGCTACCGAAGAGGTTTCTGTTTCCGTATGCAGGACACCGCATACACCCATTCAGCAATAAACGGAATACGCGGAACGCTAAACGTGCTACGAGGACTCGACTGGACTCTCTCTATCTCTCTTTCTCGCGTGTTCCTTGCGACCTTGATCGCTTAACGAATGTTGCCCGTACAGATCCATATCTAGAGAGACACGCCGCGTTCAGCGTGTTCCCTCTCTAATGCCGGCGGACCTTTGAACCCGCTCGGCATTAATTAATTCCCGACGGTGGGCTCCCTCGTTTACGAACGTCCCGGGCGAAAAAGTGAATTTGATTGCTGTAATTTGCATCGGTACCGCAAATAGATTCGTAAAATTACGGTTCGCTCCGACGCCAGCCGACAACCTCCAGTTGCTAGGGGTTTGGCTGAAATTACATACCAGCTTGGTGGGCGTAAGACGTCGTTTCATTGGGTCGAGAGTCGTTGCGTTTTTCCTTCCCTTCGTTCGTTACTTGGGATCGAACAGGTTAATTAATTCGTAGCACAGTGACCGATCGTTCGGGTGAATTTTCGGCAGGCGAAAAGGCGCGAGGTGGGTCGAATCAACCGAGGCGGCGGTAACGGGGAACGGGCAGTGTTTCCGGCGGTCGGGAGAGGACGGTCGCCGCATTCTTCGACAGCGAACGCTTTCGCGGAGCAAGCAGATTAAGGCGAGCGATATCGGTCGCTTTACGAGTTCTTGCGGTGCATCGTAAACCCCTGACGGCGCGCCGCGGTACGCTTAAACGCGCGATGATCGACGCGAATGCGTGGCTTAATCGACCGTTAAAATTCCATGTCCGTTTCAATTTTACGGGCCGTTTAGTCGGAAGCTGGAGGAAGACGGCCGTTCCGCGCGAGATTCGGAAAAATTTACGCGCGAGAAACGGACGGGAGGGCCGGGACGAGGATATTTCGTAGGAGGCATTTTTCAATACGATCCAACGGGGCGAGACGCGACGAAAGGGCCCCGGGAAGTTGACATTAAGGGCTCCGGGCGAAGGAGTACGAGCAGGAAAAAGGTAGAACCGCCGCGGCGAACAGGAAGAGGACAGGCTGTCGGCGGGGCGGAGGGAACGAGCGAGAGGGAATCGTAAGGTAGGAGGGAGAGCTCGAAGAAGTGGAAAGAGAGAAAAGGGAGCAACGAAAAATAAGAAGAGTGGTTCTCCTCTCCGGTCTCTTAGGTTGGGAGCGGGTGGCCTTGAGCAGGTCATCACCTCCGGCTGCGGTGCTGATGCTGCCCGCGCTGGACCATCTTAACTTCCCCTTCTTACTCCTTCGACCCGTCCTCTCTTACTTCGGTCAACTCTTCTTCGCCAACCTCCTCTTCCCTCCGTTTCATCTCTTCTTTCCTCCTTCCCTTTCCTTTACACTTTTCCACGGACCTCCGGCGTGCCGTGCGCCGCGGAACAATCCGTCCGAGCTAACTCCGCCAGCGGCGAGCGACGCGACGTTCCTCGTCCACAGCACCGGAGTGAACTCGACGACCAAAACGATTTTCTCCGCATCGTAATCGCAACGGACGACGTTACCGATCGCGCAAATTGAATCTTCCAAATTGGATCACGGAAGCCTGGTTCTCGCGTGCGAGAAATCGGACATAGAGACCCGGAGTTCTCGGCGGCGAAGTCGTGTCGAAATCGTTTAGCTCGGCGAAGAGTCGTTCCCGCGACGCGATAATTTGTCGACTAATTGGGGGAGCAAGATTTCGAGCGCAGTCGTCCGAACAGGAAAGGGAATCACGCAAATCGAGTTTGACAAAGTGGATCGGCCGTAACGCCCCTCGGACGACGTAATGGTCGACGCGTGGCGGCGTCAGCGTGTCCGCAGGTAGAACGCCGCGCCGCGCCGCGCCGCGCCGGTGCGAAATCGTTTCGGTAAGATCCGTTGGGCGAACACGCCGGCAACCGGAGGATCGGTGTACCGACTTAAGTGAATGAGAAAGATAAACATAATAATTACGAGAAATTGCGGGCTGCCGCTGAAAACGGCATCGAGGCGAGTCCGGCACAACGCACGCGGGACAAAACCTTACTTTTCACGCTTGTCTCCTTTGCAAACTTTCATTTACCGAAACCCTACAACTTCCACTACCAAACCTTCCAGCAGATTTAGATGTATAAAGAAATCGTACAGAAATTTGAATATATTGAAAATTAAAATAGGATAATCGATGGGTCGAATTCGTCACGGCCGAAGGCGCGGTTGACCGGAAGTGCGTTGCCCGTCGCGTGGGTAACAACTCTTGGGCGACGATGCAATGGAAAGTTGTTTCGATAATAGGCGCGTTCGCTCTCACGAGTGCAATTTACAATTAAGGACGAGCCGAACAATTTCAAAGTGCCTTGCCCCACCTGTCTCTTTCCGTTCGGCGAGCATTCCTCGGATTTCGCGACGTTACGTTTCAGCTCGTCGAGCCTAACCTTGGAACGCTGCGATGCTGACGTCGGCGTGGGATCGTTTAATCGAAAACTCGTTTACGGGTACGTTGAGCGGCTAGGAAAGTGCAAGGCGTGTGCTCGAGGATCGCGTTCTGGCAGAAACGTGTACATATTACGAGACGACGTGATTCCCATAATGCAGGAAGCACGGCAAAATTACCGGGCGTCGCGACCGTTCGCGCAATTATTAGCTCCTCGTTAATTAGTACGGATTCAATTAAAGCTCGCCACAGTGTGGCCATTAGCTGGATGATTATGGATCGGTACGATTGAAAAAGGTATTCCCTCCTGTCTATCGATCGAAGGAGTAAACTTTTTCACGCTGTACGAATGCTCGAAGCTCGACGAAGATTTCAACGAACAAGAAGGATCGCAAAGGCGAATGACTTACGAGCGACGCGGCGTCGTTCGCGCGATGACCTCGACCCAGTAAAACTCTGGGGCTGCGGATCAAAAAGTCCCTTTGAACCGGGTCGATCGGAGGCGAATCTCGCGAAGACGCGAGATCGAGTTCGCGTGTACGATTCTGGCGCAACGCAGCGTACTCGGCGTTCCTCGACGCGTAACGAGTATCGACTGGACGTCGATCGGGCGCACTTGCGGCAATTAGAGCGCGAAGCTCCATCGGACGCGATAGAAATTATCGCGTCGGCGGCGTATTATTAACGCTTCTAAACTCCACGGCCGAATCGGTTCTCGCCACGAGGTAATCGACGGGCATAACACGTGTGCGATTCCTATGGGCACGCGATACACACACGCCGCCGGTACCCGGCGAAATAAATAAACGGCTCGACCGATCGTTCGCACGGCTAACAGAGTATGTATCTCGCGAGTTACAACGACCGAGTAGTTGGCGCCTGCCAGATAACACCGGCTTTCCTCTTCCAACGTGCACGTCGGTGCGTGTTGCGCGTGAATTTAATATGTACACGATCGTACGTACGCGCGCCGAGATGCGTCCGATGAATGAGCTAATTGTGCCGTCTACGAACGCAAACCCTGTCTCTTTTATTCTCGCGCCGCTTGGACCACGTTCCTCCCGGCTCGTCGCGCGAACATCAATTGCAAAATCGACCAGGAAAAACGTTCGGTCTGTTAACGACTTTCTTCAATTTTCGTGTGGTCTTTCCTTTCGTTGATCAACTGGGAACGCGTTAAACGGTAGTCATCGATGCCATTGAAATCGTCGAGGACAGTTTCCTGGCAGCCAGGATGGAAACCAATCGGGAAGCCAGGGTTTCTGGGGGGCTTCGTCGGGTGGATGATCAAGATTGTGCTGGATTTCTCGAAGAAACCACGACGGAACGGGACGGTAAATAGCGCGAGGCAGGTGTAGCCCATCTGCAGTGTCAGCTGCCAGCGTCCGAAGCCCTTGGCGTGGTCTACCCTTGAGATTCGAAAAATATATGTATATATCGTGCTCGCGAGCCGAGAGAGCAACCGAGCGGCAGCTGCGTTGCGCTTTTCTGTGGGTGGCGAGTGAAAGTGCGGCTTCGAGGTCAATGCGGGCGACAAATTGAATTTTTGCAACAGCATCCTCTCCGGTTAAATCCGCTTAACGAAAATCGACCGACTCTCGCTGGTGGCCCAGAGGTTCCCAGCTCCTCGCGTCTCTTTTCCTTTCGCCCGCGATAAATCCGAACGTCGATCCCCTTTTTTTCTCGTTTCCCCCGTGGAATTTAAACGAGGAAACGACCGTCTGGTAAACCTTGGGACCAACGATCTCGAGCGCGTCGTAAGAGCGGACCTTTTTCCGTCGCGCAGCCAGGCTTTTTCGACGATCCGGATGGAAGCCCACGGTCCGGGGGAGATTCTTTTTTTACCCGCGAAGCTGCACAGTCCGCGTTCCTCTAATGTCCCACATCCTGCTGCTGAAAGCGTTCTCGCGTCGCATGCGCGAACGTCGTGGAAGACCGGATCGTAATTTCGAGTCCGCCGATCGGTCGTTGGCACCGCGACGTTCGTGGCGGTTTTCCTTTCGACCGGATTTTATTCGACACCGGCAACACGATGACGCGATTAATCCGTGACTCAGATCGCCGATACCCAATGATTCATACGATTACGCGAAAATCGGAGGCGCTTGCCTTGAACGTTCTAATTGGGATTAGACGAGACGAGACGCTCCAACGACTCGTTAAAGTCGACGTTACGCTCGGGCGGAATTTTTGCAATTCATGGGGACAAATCGTTGCGAGATGGCGGCACGATTTAACTAGGC